GGGAGTGGTCCGGCAGCTTCCGAAGCTCCAGGTACGTCTTCTTCTGCTGCGTCAGCCTCGGCAGCACGGTCGGCGAAGGAGCGAAGGCCCGCGAAGCCGTCCGTGGGGTCGTTTGTGTTGGCGACGTTGTCCAGGTAATGCTGCAGCGTCAGTCGTTCGTAGAAGATCACCTCACGTGATGCCACGGTATTTTTGTCTTGTAAGTCGAGGAGTTTCCATGCTTGGAAATGTTTGGCGATGCCGAGGTGTAGTCCCCACCGTGCTCGTTGAGTGAAACGTCCTGCTCGGGCTGTGTGGGGTTTGTACTGTACCATGCAACCGAAAACCCGAAGTAATTTTGTGCTGCCCCTTATTCGTGTCCACAGCAGGTGCGGTGATGCGTTGTTGGGAAGCGAGGAGGAGGATAACAAATTGTGCAGATGGACTGCATGGGTCATCGCGTCTGGCCACAGTGTGTTGGGCAGTCTCATCCCTAGGAGCAGCTTCCGCATCGTCGTCTTCAAGGTCCGGTTCATTCTTTCTACGACCCCCTGCTGCTGGTGAGCATAGGGCAGAGACACCAGGCGTCTGATTCCTCTTTCTGCCAAGTAGTTCCTGAATCGTTGTGACTGGTATTCCAGTGCGCCGTCTGACTGGAAGCTCTTGAGCTTAGTTCCTGATTCTCGTTCAGCGATGGGGAGCCACGTCGTGAAGGCTTCGAAAGCTTGATCGCGCGTCTTGAGGTTGTAGTGCTAGACATATCTTGTTGCTGCATCGATGAACGTGATGACATAGTTGAAGTCGGCTTCAGTGTCGTCTCAAGGCATGTTTAAGATGTCGCTGTAAATTTTTTCCATCGGTGCGTATGCAGGTGCGCTTGGGTTGTGATGTGATGGAAAAGGTTGGTGGGGAAGATCGGCTTCAGGGCACGTGAAGCACCGTGCACGTGGTCGTCGAAGTTCTTGGCCGCTCGTTGTAAGAAGAGCGTTTCTCTCTAACACTTTGGCTTGGATGGTTTGTAGTACTGTGCTGTTTGCAGGGTGCCTGAGGCGTTGGTGCCAGATGTCGTCGGGAGCGCGATGGCCGGGCGAGCGTTGGTACATGTCGGTGTTGGAGAAGAACGCGACGACCGTGGCGGGACTTCGGCAGACTTCTCGTGTGATTGGCATAAGTTGGTATGCTTCGGTTGGTGGTCCTCGAATTGCTGGTGATGGTACTCGGCTGGGTCCCACTGCTGTTACCTCAGGTGATGTCGAGGAAGGAACGCTTGCTGGCACTTGTCTTTCTTGTCGAATAACTGCTAATGCTCGCGTTCTCTCTGCTGCAGGTATGGTGTTGGAGTACCAGAAACCATCTGGGGTGAAGTCGGGGTGGAGTACCAGATCCAGCGGGTGCGTCCAAGCGGCGAACGATACGATGCCATCGCTTCCGGCAGTACCGCGGTCGGGGACGAAGTCCAACACGAAGACGCCCGACTTCAAGAGAGCGCGACCGATGAAAAGACCGCCCTTCCCGTGGTAAAGGCAAAATTCGTTGGAGTCTGAGTCGCATTCCAGGTGAATCCCTTTTGCCATTAACTGGCTGACGCTGAGTAAGTTGTATCCCAAGTTGTCGACGATTAGAACTTTGTTGAGTTGTAGTATGACGTTCGTCTCCATTGACTGAAGCTGAACGACGCCTTGTCTGTTTGTTTTCAGGTTCTCGCTGTTGGCGACGGTGATGATGACATCGTGGTTGAGGCGTCGCTCTCGCTGCACGAAGCGCCCGGAAGAGCACATGTGTTGACCGCAGCAGCTATCCAAGAACCAGGTGTTGCGTCCGGTGGGTTCGGCGTTGGCGACTGCAGCGTATGTCGGGTTAACCTGAAGTCCTTGTGAGCGTGGCGGCGGCAGTTCTTCTTCGTCTGGAGCGTAAGTGGGTGGTGATCCAGGTGCGCAGTTGTCGATGTGTACCATGCAATTGATGATGTTTGGTGTGCCTTGTGCAGATGTGGAGGAACGCCTCGGCGGGTTATCTTGAGTGGAGGCGACTTGCGGGTCTACTGGACGATAAGCTCGTGGGCGTGTGCAGTTGACTTTGGAGTGTCCAGATGTTTGACAGTTGTGGCAGAACGGCGGCACAATGGTGAGTCCTCTGTTGTCTCGTTGATCTTGCTTGCCGCGTCGGTTGCAGTTATTGTCGTTCCTTCGTTGAATGTAGAAAACTAACGGTTGCTGCTTCCTTGGTTGTCTTTCTTCAAACAGGTCCATCTCCTGTTGTTCAGCATGAAGTTCGGCGCAGAGGTGCATCTCCGAGATTCGTCCGTGGGCGCGAAGAAGCGAGCGGGTGGTTCTCCATTCTGGCCCGAGCCCAGCGAGGACAAGCGTCACGAAGCTTTCTTCAGTTATTGTTCCTCCGCACCGAAGCAGGCGGTCACGAAGTGTCTGGCATCGACTCATATAATTCTGCATCGCTTTTTCCTCGGTCTTCATCTGTATTGTTGTCAGTTGCTGCATGAGTCTGCTTTGTGTCAGGCTGTCGTTTGCTTGATAGAGACACTTGAGGTGATGCCATGCGAGTTCCGCGGAGTTTCTATAGCTCCGATACGTTCTGATGCTTTGCTGTTCTTGTGGTGACAGGTTCCGCAGGAGGACTGTGTACGCCAGCAGCGACTGATACGTAAAGATTTCTTGCTCTTTCGCAGTGCCATTGCTTGGAAATGGCAGGGACCCGTTGAAGTATCCCAAGAGATGCGCAGCCTCCATCAGCAGCTCGAACTCAAAGCTCCAGGTAAAGAAGTCGTGTCAGTTGAACGGTGAGGATGTCTGCAGTTTGATCACGTGTGAAAACTGCGCCTGGAGACTAAGTATCTCGTTTGGTGTCTGTTGTGATGCAGCCGCTGTTGGTTGGGCACGGGGCGGCATGAACTCGAACGTCCCCGGTGAAGAGTGATAAGGCGCAAAGGTAGGCGCTTGATTGTGTCGCCCGAATGATGAGTTGTCGAGGCTCATCGGCGCTAATCCCATGTTTCCTCCGTTGCTCTGTCTTGAATGCGCATGTGTCCTTGTCTGCTGCTGGTCGAAGTGCGACATGAAGCTGAAGAACCTTTCCATAAGGTTCGGGTCCAAGCTTGAAGAGGGTGATGAGGTCACCATTTCTGGTGCTCTTCCTGTTGTTTCTTGAGAAGCGCCGGTCTCGGTTTGCAGCCCTGAAGTGTGCAATCCAGAGTTGCCGGGTTGGGTGTCTTGGGCGCTGGGTGAGCCCGTAGAGGTCTTCTTGCCCTTGTTGTCAATGACTTGTAATCAATGAAGTTTGTTGAGGTGTTGACTGTAGACGTTGTTGCTGGGAGTTTGGTCTCTGACCAGCTCTCATACCATGTTGGGCTGAGAAAAGCCCTTAGGATCTTTCCAGAGACTAAGTTCCAGTTGTAAAAGGAGGCTTGAGTAGTGCAGCGGAAGTTGAGTGGTTGAACCCTTGTACTAGTATATGAGAACAAGTGACTGATTAAAAGAACAAGCATACAGCAATATATAGAAAGTAAGAAAGCAAGCAGTTGTAGAATACAGTTGAAGGGCGGTTATCGAGTCGTACAGCGACTCGATTGTCGCTTCGGTTACCATTCTTGCAGTTGTAACGGTCAGTCGCAACCTCCGGTTGCGACCCTTCGAGTCCTTTCGTCTTCTTTGTCCACCCCCTCGTGTAACCTCCGTTGACTCGTGTACATGTTACAATCTTCCTCGAGTGTGGTGTTACACTTCAGAAACGCTCAAGTCCTTGAGGTATTTCCAACAGAGGGTACAACACCCTGGTCTAGTCATTCATTCTTTCTGTTACCCTCCACCACTTGTCCTGGTGCCTCGATAATGCATTATAGTGAGCGTCGGATTCTTGGTAAGGAGAAACTGTTAAAGTCTGAACTAGGAAGAACAGAGGAGGCCGCCATGAAATGGCGGCCAAGGGTTTAGCTAGAAGCTGGACGAGAGTGTCGAGAGAGAAGAGGGGTAGACTAGAAGAGAATGAAGTACAAGAAGGGGGTTGTCCCCCCTACAGTAGGATGCAGATAGTAGCATAACTACCAAGCCTACAATTATATAAAAATATAATTTGAACACACCCCCTAGGCTTGGTAGTGGCAAACCCACACAACCCACACACACACCCCCTAACCCCGGACACCCTCATTCTCGTGAGCAGCCGGGTATCGACCCCTCGTGCTAGGCTATGACACCCCCGGTCGAGAGGCAGCTGGCCGCATCTGGGCGGCCTCAATGACGACAGCGGCGGAGCTCGTGCTCAAGGCGGCTGTGTCGATGAGGACAGGCGGCGACTGCGGCGGCTGAGGGCTCTCGGCGGTGTGGCACGGGCTGGCGACGACCGAGCCGAAGACAGCAGCTACGGCAGGAGCAGGAGGAGATGCAGGGGAGGGAGAGGTGGTGGGGCTGCTGTGGTGGGGCTGCAGGACTTCAGCGCGGCGCCATAGGCGCGGCGCTTACTGGAGGGAGGAGCAGGCGGGACGGGGCCCAGGAGGGGCGCGACTGGGCTAGGAGGCACGGCAAGGCCCAGGAGGGGCGCGACTGGGCTAGGAGGCACGGCAGGGCCCAGGAGGGGCGCGACGTGGGTAGGAGGCACGGCAGGGCCCAGGAGGGGCGCGACGGGGAGGTGGAACGGCGGAGCCGCCACGTCAGGGCGGCAAGCCCAGCACGGCTGCTCGACCTGGCAGCCATGCGACATGGCCGCCACGGCGGCACGGCACGAGCGACGAACGCACGAGAATGCAGCGGAAAGCACGGAGGGGAGCAGGCCCAGGAAGGGCATCCCGCTCTCGATACCATGTTAAAGTCTGAACTAGGAAGAGCAGAGGAGGCCGCCATGAAATGGCGGCCAAGGGTTTAGCTAGAAGCTGGACGAGAGTGTCGAGAGAGAAGAGGGGTAGACTAGAAGAGAATGAAGTACAAGAAGGGGGTTGTCCCCCCTACAGTAGGATGCAGTTAGTAGCATAACTACCAAGCCTACAATTATATAAAAATATAATTTGAACAGAAACATATTGCTAGGTCATGAAGTTACCAACAAAAAACACGTCTACTAGACTCATCAAACCCAAAAACATAACAAAGCAACAGGTGCGACAGCAGGTAGGGACAGTCTCACTTCCACGCCCCTTTCTTATTTATCGCCATGCATCACCCTCTTCCATGCGTCTCTCACAAGGCTAGTGAGAGCAGCTCTCCATCCTCCCCTCATCGCAGGAAATGCCTAGTAGGGAGTGGATCCAATCATGTTCCCCTGCGGCCAGTAGTCACACACCCAAATGCCCCCCCCATCCGCGCACTGGGCAGCAGCGCACCCAACATGCGTGGTATCCCGCCACACCACCTGCGTGTAGTGCCCGCACTGCTTGCCATCCGCACACCCCTCCGGCACGGCACTGTACGTCCAGTCCTCCTTCTCTGCCACCCACGACTGCACTGCCGCCCGGTCCTCGGCACTGTTCAGCTGCACAGGCGCCTTCCAGTACAGGTTCTGCCCGAGTCCGTCAGCCCCTCCGTGCTCCAGGTTGCATCCACTGGAAGCGAGCTCAGCTGCCCACTGCTGCGCTGCGAGTGCCACTCCCTCGTCCCATGCGAGGTCTGGCACGCCCACTTCCTGCCGTGCCTTGTTGTGCTCCTCCAGAATCGCTGCCACGTCCACACCGCTGCTACCGTTGCTGCCGCCATCGCCACTGCTGCTGGTGTCACCACTGCTGCTGGTGTCACCACTGCTGCTGGTGCAGCCACTAGGACTGGTGGTGTCAGACCCGGCCCAGTTACCAGCAGCAACTGAAGTTGTCTCTCCCAACTGCCGTGCCTTGGCGCCAGACAGCAGCCTGCGAGCCTCGCGCTTTGCCACACGGCTAGCAGCGGACGTGACAGCAGCGGATGTGACTCCAGTGGATGTGACGTCAGCAAGTGCTGGCAGAGTGAAGGAAGCAGCGATCATTGCGAATGCTGGCGAAAGGGGTTCGTTAGGGAGGGACAGAGAACAGGAGGAGGGGGAGTGAGACGAGCTAACGAGTGGCCCATTAAAGAAAGGAAAAGACAATCACGTGTGCAGTAAAGTAACCCAGACACGCATGTCGCGTGCAAAGGGTAAGTTGTGCTGAGAACTGCAGCACGTCGCGTCACGTCAGAAAGGTCGTTCGGAAAGGTCGGAGCACTCACCCAATGCAGCGCAGAGACGCCTCAACAGGCTGACGGCCGCCATGATGTTAGAGAGGCAGCAGAGAATGGGGAAATTCGGAGCCGGAAAACGGCAGGTGAGCTCGCTATCCGGGAATGCCTTTGAAATCAGGGCGGATCAGAATCGCGCTGAACCGAAGCCACTGAAAGATGCTCAGATTGCGACTCAGATTGCTCTAAGGTGGAAATGAGATGGCAGTGGCCTCGAATGCTGTGAGAGTGAGCGATAAATCATGGCTATCGTATGCCTCCTTTTATACTCCAGAGAAGCTCCAGCGGTGAAGGCTGAGGATGGTATCGACTCGAGCTCGGAGCTAGAGGGACGCGCCTCGCTGCGACGTCGCGCAAGGCGAAACGGACTGGCAAGACGTCATCGTCGTGCGACGACGGTCGTCGTGGTGGGGGACTGGCGAGATGGCCGGCAGCAAGCATAATCGCGGGAAAGAGGCCGCGAGGTGGCATCGAAACTGCGTCGCTAGGACAATGAGGAAACTCGTGCGGCAGACTTCGCCTTCCCCTAATCGTCCAATAATTCTGCAGTAGTCAGAGCAGCGGAGATTTCAAGGCAAGGTCCGGATCCGACGCATTAGGGCGTGTCCCTCGCCTTTGTTTTAGATTCACTTAGTACGGTTGAATCTGGTGCTATATGTTCCAAAGCGGTCAAGTGTTTGAACCGTTCCCGACCGCAGTCGAGTGTACGAGTGGGACACGCCCTACGGGGTTGGTCAGCCACGAAATCGCGTTTCGCGAAAAGGGGAGGGGAAGGAAATTCTGTGTGCATGCGAAGGGTGGCGCGAGAGTGTTACTGTAGTACGCAATTTGTTATGAATGAACAGGCAGGGTGGCGCTGAATGACGTCAAGCACAGCAGCATATTGGGAGATGTGAAGGTCTGGGAAACTGCACGGAAGATGCTGCCTCTTGTCACTAGTGACCCCCATGGCGCTGCCTGAATCTCAAGACAGGCCTGGATGGTGCTGATGGCTGGACAGAAAAAGGGGGAGAGAACGAATGTGAGTGTGCAAGGGGTGAGGGAGAAATCAGTAAACGACTCTCTTATAATGCTTGTCTGAAACCTGCCTCTATTGACTGTCCTAGGATACCTTGTATCTGTATCCCTTTTGTATTGTTATGAGAGGAGCAACTGCATAGGCTCGTTACAGTACCAATGCATTCGATTTTCCAGCAACAGCAAGAGGAGACTATCAGAATGAATAATGACTAGAATGGGGAGATACATGGCAATATAGATTGGTGAGTTGTACTCTACAGTAACTGCATAAGTTATGTTTGACACACTCCCTAGACTATATAGGGGCAGTGCCTAACAAGGGAAGAAGCAGCTCAGGGCGGCACTAGTCCAGCCTCTGAGACAAGGGTCTAAAGACCAGTCACAAAGAGTACAGACAATGCAAGAGCAAGACTAGGGCGGCACTACTAGTCCAGCCACTGGATGAGGCCACAAGGCCAGTCAGGGCAAAAAATATATATATATAAAGGATACTACAAAGTCAAGGCCCTAGCAAGTGAGAGGCTACAGGAACGAGATCTAGCTGTACATAGTGCCGCTGATGATCTTTAGGCACAAGCGCCTTCGTAAAGATATCAGCTGTGTTGGCACCGGAGGCCAAGTGTAATACGCGCGACTGGCGGCGCTGCTGGAGCTCACGTAGGAGGAAGTACCGCAGCAGGATGTGCTTTGCTCTGCCCTCGAGTCGAGGCTCCTGACACAGGAGGATCATGGGCCTGTTGTCAGCGTACATGACCGGGGCAGAGCTAGGCGGCTCACCTAAGTTAGTGAGCAAGAAGGTCAGCCAGCGGAGCTCCTGTGCCGCCATGGCACCGGCGTAGATCTCGGCCTCACAGCTGGACTGGGCAACAGACGAGGAGCGGGTAGCTCTCCACGAGACGGCACCTGAACCAAGGCTGAAGCAGTAGCCCTGCGAGGACCTGAGGGTCTTGGCGTCGTCTGCCCAAGAAGCGTCTGTGTGTCCAGTAAGGACCACTGGCCTGCGTCCTCCTAGCACTAACCCCATGCCCGATGTACTCGCAAGATAACGCAAAACTCTCTTAGCAGCAGACCAGTGCTGAGGTTGATGTCTGCGTGTAGCCACAAAGCGAGCCAGGATGCTGAGAGGGTATGCGAGATCTGGGCGAGTGCAAGTCATCAGGTACATGAGGCAACCCACTAGCTCTGCGTAAGAACCACTGGGCTCTGCCGACTCCTCAGGAACTGGAGCGGAGAGCCTATGGTCTAGAGGCAGAGGAGTGGGCTGTGCGGAGGAGAACTGAAGGCCGAACCTCTGAAGGACCTGGTGCACCAAGTATGAGTGGGTTAAAGTGATAGTGCACGCTGCTCTGTCCCTGGAGATCTGCAAGCCAAGGTAGTGGCGCAGTTCTCCAAGGTCAGTGCAGGTGTGTCTCTTCAGCAGCTCTGCCTTCACGGAGGCCAGTGCGTCTCTATCTGCCGTGGCGAAGACCAGGTCGTCTACGTAAGCAAGGATGTAGAAGGGGGTCTGGCCAACACGAACGAAGAGCGAGGGGTCTGCAGAGCACGGAAAGAACTGTAGGTCAGCAAGCGTAGCATGCACCATGCAGTGCCACTCACGGGGAGCATGCTGTAGGCCGTAAACGGGGCGCCGCAGGAGCCACTGGGTCCCAGGAGGGAAGGTACCAGTGAAGCCCTGAGGGCGGCGCAGGTAGACCTGCTCGTGTAGACTGCCCTGAAGAAACGCAGTTTAGAAGTCGACGGAGTGAAGCTCGTAGTCACGCTGCGCTGCTACGTGTAGTAGCACTTGAAGAGTAGTCATCTTCGTGGTCGGAGCGAAGGTCTGGAAGAAGTCCACCCCCTCACGCTGACTGAAACCTCTAGCCACGTAGCGCGCCTTGAATACTTGCGGCTCTCCAGGAGGGCGCTTCACCTTGAAGAGCCTGCGGCCATCGACTACGTTCACCCCATGTGGGGGAACTGCGTGGACATAGGTGCCGGTGGATCTCCAAGATGCCATCTCCTGCTCCATGGCAGCTATCCACTGAGAGGCCCAAGGTCCCGAGACCGCCTCAGCGTTAGTTCGAGGGGTCGGGATGTCGAAAGCGTCGGGGTCATCCTCAGGGACTAGAAGCATAGAGCAGAGATGGGGAGCAGCCTCGGACAGGAAAGCTAGCTCGTACTGGCGGTCCTCCAGGACGTCACTACCGAGGGCAGGAGCACCCCCGACAGACGGAGGACAGGCAGGGTCAGAGACCAGAGCGGTGGCGTAGTCAAGGCGTCGGGTAGAGGCGAAGTCAGCGACCGCAGCTACAAGGGCGTCAAGACTCAAAACCGGAACAGACGGGTCGGTGTCGAGAGACGCAAGGACCCTAGGAACAAGAGGATGAGTGGCACGCAGCTAGTCAGACAGAGGGGGGGGAGGAACGACAAGGGAGGACGGAGGAGGCGACGGGAGAAGGGGAGGACGAGACGCGTGGGAACGTAGCAATATAGGGTGAGAGCGCGAGACAGAGGAGACAGGTCGAGCACGGAGGGACAGCGAGACCAGATGTGAGACGGAGGAGTCGGGTCAGGAAACAGAGGAGGGGACACAAGAGGGGAACGAGGGGGGAAACGAGCCGGAGACGAGTACGGAGGAGGGAACACAGGGCCCTAGACAGGAGGAGGCACAGGCATGGGGTATGGGGACAGAAGGCTGAGGAGGCGAAGAGCACGGACACCGGCGGGGACTGCTGCGGCGGTGGTGTGACACCAATACCGGGACCGCAAGTTGCCTGGCGGTGACCTCCAAAATGCTCCACGCCAGCAACCCCAGAAGAAACACCCCCAGAGCTCAGAACCCCTCGAGAACCCCGAGGCCCGCCGGGACAAGCCACGACAGGAGTCCTGGGACTAGTACCCACCCCAACTCTAGCACCCCCAGAGGCAACGAACTGCGGCGGCGACAACTGCGGCGGCGGGGACGACGGCTGCGACAGCGGCGGCGACGGCGGCTGCGGAGGCGGTGGAGGAGGAAACACCTGAGAAGGGGCAAGTGGCGAGGACTGCGCCGCAGGACCACCAGAGTCAGCAGACTCCTCAACTGGGACAACCAACGGAACTGGGGTGACGTGGGACACACCAGAGTGGGCAGGACGGGGAGGGGGAGGAGGAGGGGCGACAAGGACCTGGGAAGGGGTGACCAGGAATGGGGGGGGGGTAACCGGGGGACCTTGGTGGGGGAAGCGGCGGAAGAAGGAGACGGACTCGTCAAAGGTGACGTCGCGGGAATGAAAGAACCTGTGAGACGGCGGGTGGTAGAAGTGCCAGTCAGACGCGTCAAGGGGGAAGCTGAGGAAGACGCTTCAAAATGGGGTGCACCGGCATGGACTATGGAGGTGCGAGCCACCTCCATGACCAAACCGATGTGTCGCTCAGCGAACCCATTCTGCTGCGGGGAGTCTGGCAAGGTGAACGTCTGGGTGATGCCCTCCGCACGACAGAAACGACCAAGGACACCAGAGGCAAACTCGCCACCACGGTAAGAGTGGAGACGCAAGACAGGGAGATCGCGGTGGACACGCACAGAGACAAGCCACGGAATGAGAACGTCAGGCACGCCGGCCTTCCGCTCCAGGGGAAACACCGTGGTGTAGCACGTGTAGTCGTCGACAAGCACTAGGAAGTAGCACTCTCGACGCGGCCCATGGACGGGGGCGGGGCCCCAGATGTCCATGTGCAGAGTCTGTAGCGGTGCTGCGGTAGGGGGAAATGAGGAGGAGTGAGGGGCACGGCGGAGCCGGCCCTCGACACAGGGTGTGCAAGGTGGGGCTGGGGAGGAGGAAAACTCGGGGAATGACCCGGGGAGGCCTAGGACGAGACCATGCTGTCACATGTGACACTGACGCGGGAGCGCAGGGTGACCTAGGCGGTGGTGCCAGAGAAGAGTCCGGTGGGTGAGAGACCGACAGGAGCAGGCAGCAGCAACCGAGGGAGACGCAGCCACCTGAGGGGGGGTCACCGTGAGTCAGGGTTGCGGGTGTAAGAAATAGAGTTGAAATGATTAATTAGGAAAGGAGCCCAAGGCTCTATAAGTACATGGCAAGGTGAGAGTGAATGGATGAAGGGGGAATTGGAGGGAATCCCCATTGGGATCTCCGGAATCTCCAATTGGGTAATTGGAGATTGGGGGGATCACAATTGGGTGAGGTTGGGATTTGTGAGTACACCCCAACCCACTAGAACATTCATAACCTAAACTAGGATATAGAAGTACAAATACAAAGGTGGTATTTGCAGTCTATTTCTAACACACCCCCATAGACTGCAAACCCGGTCAAGGAGCACATAGCCCCATGGAACGGAGAAGGCGATGGTGGTTAGCCTTGCCGAGAGCCTTGGTAAAGAGGTCGGCAAGGTTGCAATCTGAGGCGATGTACCGTACCGTCAGCTGGGTACTCTGAACAAGATCTCGGATGAAGAAATGACAAAGTTCGATGTGCTTGGTGCGAGAGTGGAACACAGGATCCTTGGTGAGGTGAATGGCACTCTGGTTGTCACACCACAGGGTGGGCGACTGCTGGGGGTAGCCTAACTCAGCGAGGAGAAAGGAGAGCCAGCGTGCCTCTTGAGCAGCCATTGTGCCCGCGTAGAGCTCGGCCTCGCAGGATGACAGGGAGACTGCAGAGGACCGAGTGGAGCGCCAGCTGATGACTCCGCTACCAAGGGTGAAGCAGTACCCTTGGGAGGAGCGTCTGTCAGTCTGGTCATCGGCCCATGAGGAGTCTGTGTATCCCTTGAGCTTGACTGGAGAGGTACCACCAAGAGTGAGGATGTGAGACTTGGTGGCTTGTAGATAGCGGAGGACCCTCTTGGCTGCAGACCAATGCGAGGCAGTGTAGCGTCCGGGGGAGACGTACCGAGAGAGGACACTAATCGGGTAAGCCAAGTCTGGTCGAGTGCACATCATG